ATGGAGACATCCATGCACTAAACAGTGGAGAAGACCCTAATTTGGGGTCGAGGGCATGTTTGTGTTTTCTTGTAGGAAAAGAATAAAAGCTTCGACATGGAGCAGAGAAAAACTGGACCTGAGTCCATGGGAGCCTACCTAAGCCAGTTTGAGTGAGATCTCCTAAATCAGTGTTCCTGAACCTTGCTGTCATCGAATCTAGAGCCCAAGAAAGAAAGAAAACAGTCGGTTCGAGATTTCCAGTTTCTCAACAGACCTGCTGCATCAACCTTCCGGACCCATGAGTTTTCATCGTGAAGCCAATAGAGAAAAAAGGACCCATTTAAAACCTTTGGACATTCGTATGGACTGTGATGAGGGGCAAAAGCCTCTTTTAAGTAATTGAACAGGACATGGTCACTTGAAATATCAGACTTGATGGTTCCTGTTTCTGGAATCACGACTAGGCCAGTGTATTTTTCTGGAGAAATGCAACTTGTCCTAATGCGACAAAAGGAGACTTTGACTCAAGTCGCATAATCAGCTGACGTTGAATCAACAAACTGCATCACCACAGGAACAAATTGGTGCTCTGTGGATAGTGCAACAAGCCTATTGTTCATATTTTTCATAATGCTACATGTGTAACATCAATGATTGTACCTAATGTATCTGTGCAAGTGCACTTTCTAAATGCTTTCCTGAGCAGATCTTGGAACAATTGAAACTTCATCAAATTGTAAATGTAAATCACATGCAGGTTACCCTTGTAACAGAATGTAAATCACGTGTGGGTTACCCTTGTAACAGACGAAGGCTGGTAGAATGTTATGGCCCAGATCTGGTGATGGGTACGGTGATGGAGAGGCGCTATGTCAATGGGGGTCCTGGAAATGGTGGCAGTGGCGGTAGGCATTCTGGCTTTATGCCGGGCTCAAACGTGCCTTGTCCCAGAGGCAAGAGATCCGTAACCAAGTATTGCTTAGCCTAGCCCATGGCAATCCCGATAGCCTTGAAGGTTGGTTACAGATGATTTAAAGTTGGGGTGCTCTGATGACGGGCCACCTGTGGGGAAGACCCCCTCCCGCCTAAGACAGGGGTTCAAGGTCCCCCAATGACGGGAAAGGGAGGGTGACCCTACTTGACCTAAGCCAGGAGTGCCTCATTTAAAAATAAAAAGGGGTGAATTGTGGGAACACCAGACCTTGAGCAGAGACCCACTTCCCCTTCTGCCTGGGAGTAGGCAGCTGTAAGACAATGTTTACTAAAAACAATACAATGCCTGGGGGCATTAAGTTCCTGGAAAAGGCCTGCCCACAGAAACCACCCTGACCTCGACCTTGTCCAAAGACTAACCACCTCTTCTGCCACGCCCAGATCAGTTTTCTGGGGTCAGAGCAGAACCAGCCAGGGTAGAGGGGAGAGCAGAAGCTTCTCTGGTGGGAGCCTTTCTTAGGAAGTTTTCTTGAACCTTTTTGGGGCCTGCTTAAAGTTTTCTTTACATCGTTGAACGAGTCTCTGTGTTGTCAATCCCCGACACCCTCCGCACGTTCTTGGACACAGGCCGCGCAGCAGACGCGACAATACACCACAGTATACACAGTTTGCTACTTGTTTCTGAAAATGGAAACAACCAAACAATACTCCTCAAATCTGGCAATTTCCCTTCTCCAAAACCCTCTACTTTTAACAGATACTCTCTTACTACAGACACATTAAAATTCAAATGTTCAAGGTGCTAAAAATGAGAAATCAAAATTTGGGTTATAAGACAAAGAAATCTATTGAAAAGAAAAGCATGCACTAGAATCTCAAAGAACAAACTACATTCTGCATTTTGACTTTAAAAAGATGCCACGATTGGCTTGCTGGTGCAGGTGCCGGGGTGGGGGCTGTATTCTAAAGCGGAGATAAGGGATGAGAATGACTCTAAGCTTTAAACACAGAGAGAAATGTTTAGTTAACTGCAGATTCCGAGCTGGTACCAGTTGACTCATTCGCTTGTATACAACTGAGTATTTTCAGTATTGAATGTCGGCTGGGAGCCTCTGACTTTTTCACCAGACAGTAGGCTGTAAAGAAACATGTCATTCCTTTTGACTCTCTTGGAAAGAAAACAGAAAACAACATCATGAAGGTGGGGGAAAGGGTCATAATATTTTATAACAGGATGCAGGAGACTCAGAAGAAAATCGAAGCAAAGCCCAGCAGGACTGATTTGCCTCCCTCATTGTGAGGAACACAAGCATAGCAATCACGTGTCATATTGGATCACAATAGAGGAGGGCAATTTTTATGGCTCGCCATTCCCAACACTACACGGTGCTTTCTCCATAGTGCTTTCTCCATAATGCCCTTCACTTCCTTCAAGCTGAGGATCAGAAGCTCTCGCTTCTTTCTGCTCACCAGAATCTCAGTGTGTATATACATGCATGCCTACACGATTTGTCCTATCATGACAGGAGAATTTACTTACCTCTAGTGAAATGGGGAAAAAATTAACACAAAGGCAGCAAAAAGTTAATACTGAGTTGTGGAACTTACAAAATGGCCTTTCAGATTTTCTTAATTGAGTGCAAATTTGTTTACCTCAAGCCAGCTACTTAGAATAGCTCAGGCATGCCAAAAGACTGAATTTCATAAAGGGGTAATTCTTTTCTGCTACGTAGTACAGTTATCCATCTTAAGACAATTTACATAAGGAGTATTAAGTTAGGAATTAAGACCTTTTTATTTTGTTTTTCATATTTATTTAAGCCTTCTCCCAGTTATTAGAGAAATGGTTTAATAATCCACACTACAAGTGAAATAGTACCTACTGAACAAAAATCCCATTAAGGAATTTATTTCATAAACATGTAACTTTAAAAATCAGATCTCCAGGAACTAGAGATGAAGCTCAGCCATAGAGTGCGTGCTTAGTGTGAGCAAGGCCCTGGGCTTCATCCACAGCAACAAAACCAACCAAGACACATCAGACTTTCAGTTACTTTTAGTGCTTTTCTCATTGTCAAACACACATTAAGAAAGCATTGTGCTATCACTTCTGCATAACCAAATGTATACCCATGTACACATGAGAACATGTGAGCAATACAAATAACGCACACTTGAATATAGAACCACACATCCGTATGTGTACTATAAAAATAGTCACCTGAAAAGAATAGATGTTTTAGCCAGGCATGGTAACTCATGCTTGGAATCAGAACAATTAGAGAGCTGAGGCAGGAGGATTGCCACAAGTTTGAGACCAGCTTGGGTTACATAATAAGTTCCAGGCAGCTTGGGATACATAACAAAACCCTGTTTATAAAAAAGAAAAAGACACACAGATTAGAAAAAAAAAGGAATGGATGTTTTCTTTTGTTTTTTTCAAGACAGGGTTTCTCTGTATTGTTTTGGAGGCTGTCCTGGAACTCGCTCGGTAGACCAGGCTGGTCTCAAACTCACAGAGATCTGCCTGCCTCTGCCTCCCGAGTGCTGGGATTAAAGGCGTGCGCCACCAACGCCCGGCAGGAATGGATGTTTTCAAGAACAGCTCCTATCCAGATCATCCAGGCTGTATGAATGGATACGAATAACAGCTTACCATTCCGATTTAAAAAATCCTGGTATCTCATGAATCAATGGAATGTTTAGTTCCAGAAAGTTTGGAAAGGAATGAAAAGATGTGAAAAGGTATTCCAAAGATTATTTCAGCACGCAAAACTGGCTAATTTAAAAAAATGGATAATGCCAAATTATAGATACAGGAATTTGTGTACAATGTGTTTTCAAATGTGAGCTTAAAGATCAATAAACTGAATGGATAATGCTTGTTCCTGAGAGCTATATTTACTGACAGTTTTCTAGAAATTTCTAGGCCTCTAACTTTAAACATATAAAAAATAAGCTAGTATTAAAGCTGGAAATATTTTACACATTTGGAGAAAATGTTTATTATTAATGTTTATAAAACACATCTAGGTTTAAACTACTGCTGTATTTGGTGAAGCATTCTGAATGATTAGGAGAGGGAGGTAGAACATACTAGAGACCAAAGCTAAACATTCACACCGAAGAGTTTTCTCTTCCCTCCCTCCCTGCCTCCCCTCCCCTCATGGTGTGTGTGTTCATGCACTTTCATGTGCAAGTGTAGATGCCAGAGATGGACTTCAGGTGTCTTTGAAGCTCTCTCACTCTCTACCATTTTTTTCCACACAAGTTCTAACTACGTAACCCAGGCTAGCCTGGAATTCATGACCCTCTTGAATGCTAGCGCTGGGTTTATATATCTGTGCCACCACAGCAGCTCAACATGGTATTTTAATATACATATACATAGTGAAATAATTACTACAGTCAAGCAAGTTAACATATATAGTTATTTATCATTTCTTTTAGAGAACCTGAAATCTGTTCATTTGGTGAATTTTCAGTATAATACAATATTATTTATAATAATCACGCTGTATATTAATCTATACTTATAGGTTTAAATGCTGCAAAGTCTGAATTTTGAGCAAGAATGCTTGTCTACACAATTGAATATAGAGAAACCCGCAAATAGAAAGGTAGTCATTTATTGCTGTGAGTTCCATTTTACATATTCAATCTAAAAGGAAGAAAAACATCTAACCAAAACTGCAATGCTTTTTATTTGTAATAAATGATGTGTGACATAACACTTTAAAAATAATAGTGATTCAGCTACAAAGGTAACTCTGGCAATGAAATATTGGAAAATATAGATCTAAATGGAAACAATTACAGGTACCTGTGCTGGGCAAAACAGGCAACACTGGAAAAACTGAACAGGTAAATAAACAATGGCTGACATTAAGAAACATCAGACAAAATAGCTGGCCAGAGGCTGGTAGTCATGGCAACAGCATTTAGTCACTGCGAACACAGCTTCCAAGCAGGGAGGCCTCCTGTTATTTGGCTTCATTACCAGTGAGTCAAAGCATTTGTCATAACATTGAATTCGCCATAACACAGTGCATTAGAATTGGAAAATTCAAAGCAAACTCACTTACCTTCCCTGTCAAAACTGAGGGAAATTCCGTATCAAACTTGTTGCTTAATCCAAACCTTAAAAACAAAGACAGAACAAAATCTATTCTATTCAGCATATTTAACCCTTTCTGCAATAGATTATACATTCATGTAGTTTTGTTTGACCTTCAAATTTAAAAACATGCCCCAAATATGCACAATTTTATAATGTATATACGAGTTAAAACCAAGCAATGGATTTAAAAATCCATACATTAAGTACCAAAATAACATTAAACTGAAAAGATGTGTTCCAAATAAAACTTTAACACAAGAATAAATTTTTGACTATTTGTTCAAATTAGCAGTTAAAGAAATCTAAGGAAAGCAATTTAAAATTGTTGTATGGGTTATTGTTTGGGTTTTTTTGTTTGTTTTTGATTTTTGACACAGGGTTTCTCTGTGTAACAGCTCTGGCTGTCCTAGAACTTACTCTGTAGACCAGGCTGGCCTCGAACTCACAAAAATCTGCCTCACTCTGCTTCCCCAGTGCTGGAATTAAAGGCTTTCGCCACCACTGCCTAGCTCTTGTTTATTTTTTGAGAAAGAACTGAAAGTTGGGTGGGGAGGGAGAAAGGATCTGGAAAGCCTTGAGGGAGGGGAAAAATATGAGCAAAATATATTTAAAGTTAAAAATGGTCTTAAGTAATAAAAACAAAAATGTAGCAGGCAGTCATAATTTTAAGTTTTTAATTTATATTTTAATTGTGTGTGTGTGTTACTCTTGGAGGCCAGAAAAAAAAGTACTGGATCCCCTGGAACTGATTGGAGTTACCATGTGGGTGCTTGGAATCAAACCCAGGTCCTCTGGAAGAGTACTCTCAACTGCTGAGCCACCTCTCCAGCACCCCCCACCCCCTGTTATATTTTTGACCAAAATGTTTCTCTGTTAAAATCTACTTTATTAGATAATTGCTAGAATTGGATGATAAATAATAAGTGTGAATGAATCTTTTTAAATGCTTTTCATTTGCTCAGCCAATTTGAGAAAAAGAGAGGCCTGTCTCTAAGGTTTACTCTGCTAGTATATTCACTAAAATATGTAACTAAGTTGAGGCTGGAGAAGTGCCTCAGAGGTTAAGAGCACTACCTGTTCTTCCAGAGGTCCTGACTTCAATTCCCAGCAACCACATGGTGGCTCACAACCATCTATAATGAGATCTGATGCCCTCTTCTATAATGCAGGCATATGTGCAGAGTACTTGTATATAAAAATAAATTTTAAAATGTTTAAAAATATGTAATAAAGTCAACAGGAATTTTATAGGCCTTTGTCCATTTATTTGTTGAACTGAGTAGGGATAACTTAGGTTATGTTTTGAATGTTGGACAATTTCACATTAGAATAACAATTATACGTCAGTGAATGATAAGAAAAAACAGGAAAACAGACTAGTGTTGAGAACTCCATGAAAGGAAAGCAGTAACACACAACAATACCAATAACTATGCATCACCATTTTTTGGACAGAGAAGCTGACATTCAAGCCTTTAATCCTAGCACTCAAAAACATTTTTTGAAAATCAATTAATTAAATGATTTGCCTAAAGTCAAGCTCCTATCTAGTTAAGAAGTAGTGAGAACTAAAAATTAATAATTGTTATGATTTTTCTTTTTTAATGAGTGAAAATTAATCTTCTAAAATATAAAAGGTATATTAAAATGGTAATGGAAGCATATCTTTGCTTCTTAAATACATCCTTTATGAGTAACATATAGACATCTCTCCATGTCTGTGGGAGATCATACCATAAAATATAAAGAAGCTGGTATAGTGGCACGTGCCTATAATCCCAGGATGAGTCAGGAGGATTATGAGTTCAAGGCCAACCTGGACAACATAGTGAGAATCCATCTCAAAAGTTTGCAAACAACAAAGCATAATTGAAAGCAAACCAGACTCACTACTCTCATAATTTTGGCTAACAAGGAATAGCTACCCTGTTCTCGCATACCAGGGATTTCTTTCCTAAATATTTTCTCTTTAACACTGAGGACATAAAAAGAGTGCTTACTTAAAAAAAAAACAAAAAAACTAAAAACCTTAATTCTGAGGGTTTCACTTAGTAGCTACAAATATACTGAAATGTTGCTGCTGAATAAACACCTTATCTCTGTTTGATAAACAAACTATGAAGTTAAGAACTATGGCTCATTCAGGCAGTGGTGGTGGTGTGCACGCCTTTAATCCCAACACTGAGGAGGCAGATCTCTGTGAGTTCAAGACCAGTCTGGTCTACAGAGTGAGTTCCAGGATGACCAGGGCCAGGGCTACACAAAAAAACTCTGTCTCCAAAAACCAAAAAAAAAAAAAAAAAAAAAAAAAAGGAAGGAAGCAAGAAAAAGCTATGGCTCTACAGAGGTTATACAAATGCATCTATTCATTACTCATCAGTGATAGGCATTAGCCAAGATGTGGCACTCTTCAGCATTAGACAAAGAGGCACTTGGGAACTACTCATAAGCCATTTATTGACTTTATTAAATATAGAGTCTATTACATGTTTGAAGCTGACCAAGCTGGTGGTTGTTAATGACCGAATTTTCTTTAAGTGTTTTCAATGCCCCTACATTTTAATTTCTTGGAACAATTCTTTGCATTATAGGAAATGGAGGCAAAGAAGGATGGATCCTTTTCCTTGTTTTTCCATGCCTCCCTATACCCCTAGTTTTCATGCTTGTAAAAATGACTATTTCCAGTCATTTAAAACCTTGCTTAGCCGGGCAGTGGTGGCGCACACCTTTGATCCCAGCACTCGGGAGGCAGAGGCAGGCGGATCTCTGTGAGTTCGAGGCCGGGTTGGACCGATAGCCTCCAAAACAATACAGAGAAACCCTGTCTCATAAAAACCAAAAAAGCCAAAAAAAACCAAAAAAAAAAAACTTGCCTAAATGGAAGTTCACATGCTCTGGTTAAGAATCAGTGCTGTAGAATTCTGCTAACAAGAACCACTAGTGTTCTAGAAAACTAGGTACTTCTAACAATACCAACTCTAAAGTACATGTAGTGAGCTCTACTAAGAAAAAGGAAAATTATGTCACAAAATACAAATAAGAGTTTGGGTTTCTGGTTTTATTCTACTTAGATCTTTCTTCTGGAAATAACCACATCTTACCCAACCGCACGATGGCTTAAGACTTTGTAAAATAGTCATCTGATTGTTTTCAATGCTGGGGATTGAACCCAGGGTCTGGCTCATACTCGAGAAGCCCTCTCTCTGAGCCCAAATGTTCACCTTCCATAAACTCAGACTAGCAACGTGTCACTGTAATTTCTCAATGAGAGGTAACAGAAAGGGTAAACCATTTTCTAATATGAGACGTGTCTCTAAATTTGTGTAGAAATGTATTGTTTATAAATATAATCATCAGTTTTGAGTCTATATCTGATAATTTTAGTGAAAACTGGTAATTCAGCAATCATTTCAACTACCTTCTACACAGGTACTCTAGCAAGTGCAGATATCCACACGATTTAAGTAACAGGGGTGTGTTTATACTTATAAACACAAGGGGGAAAGGTCTCATCAGATGTATGTTTTCTGTATTTCAGTACACTGTGCCCCAATATTTATCCTAAAAAAGAAGAAAAGTATAACTCAAGTATCCAGCATTTTGAAATACCTCATGCTTGCAAGTGACATTCATCATTTTGTTTCTACAGTCTTAAAAACCTGTGGGAATTAGTTTAGTAATACTTTTTTCCCCCTGAGATAGAGTCTCACTCTGTAGACCAGGCTGCCCTTTAACTCACAGGGATCCACCTGCCTTTGCCTCTCAGTGCTGGGATTAAAGATGTGCACCACCACACCTACTTTCACTGTTTCTTATGATTTTCTAATTAATTTAATGTTAAAACTCATACTTTATTAAAAATAACTAGAAGGTCAAAGATATTAAGATGATACAAGTAAACTGGAGTACTCTTACCCACAGGAACTAGCTTAACAACGCTTTATCGAGGAATAGTGATGCCATCCGTTGGAGAGTGGTGATACCTCATCACTAGCATTATGATATTATTAAAGCTATATATATCTAAGCTCAGAATAAAGTCCTCTTCATAGCATGACTGAACAAACTCCCATTTATTGAGGGCCTGTAATATAGTTTGCACAAGAATGGGCATAGACTATCACTAAAAGGAACCAATGTTCATTGAACTTACTTAAACAAATATATGGTAGGCACTGAAGATTCACAGGGAATGAGAGATTGTTCTTGCTGTTGTACCCTACAATTTAGCAAGAGCAAAGAAGATTTATAGGAAATGGTGACATTTGGATATCTAGGATGAAAGGGATGTATATACTGGCATTTAGGATGGAAGTACTACCTTGAAGAGACATAAGATAAAAAAATAGCATGTTGTGATGAGTAACAAGAGGTGCACTCAATTGAGATGGAGAATAGAAAACAATAAGGCATGTTGAGAGTGAAGTAGCCCAGATACATATACATATACATACATACATATATATGGAAACACTGGACAAATGAGACCACAAGAAGCAAGAAGAGACTATTTAAGATGTGTAGACAGTAAGAGTAGAAAAGGCTAAGCATAAAATTCTGGAGATCACTGGTATTTAAGCAGCAAGATGGGAAGAAGACTGTTCATACAAAATACATGCTAGGCAAGCACTGTATTGCAATACTATACTCCCAGTCTCTGATCATGGTGATCTCAACTGAGGCCAGATTCTTCAGTTAAGGTGCCACAATCCAGATCAGAGGAAGTAAATATTGTGCATGTACATACTTCTAAGGAATTTGGAGAAGAGAGATTAGATAAAAACTAAAGGGAATGTGAATATCAGAAGGTTTGGGGACTGAATATATTAACAGGACACTCTAGACTCTAGATTCTAGAGAGAGTCAAAGCGAGGCACTATTGGATCCAGGGGATGCTTTATGGTACAAGACCTTGCTTTGGAGGAGGCTAGAAGAGAAGGGTATGGAAGCAGAAGAGATGAGTTCTGGGTAAGGACTCCCTGAATTCTGATGTTGGGAGCACTAAGATCTAATAAAGATTCAGTGCAGGTTTGCAACAGGACAGTGACACGATTAAATAGAATTTTAAGAAAATTAGTTTGGCACAAGCATGCATAATGAAATAAGGAGAGACAGCAGACTGTGGCTATAATTCAAGGAGGTGGTGGCAACTCAAACAAGAGTGGTGCCAAACAGGAATAGAGAAAATGAAAAATCTAAGTGAATTTCCAAATGTATGATGACATAATTTTGGGAAAATCTGACATAGGGCAATTCAAGGAGAAGAGTCAAAATGGCTCAAAGATTTCAAATATCACCCTGGGAGAGTAGAAATGTGGCAGCTAGAAATACAACCCATTTGGGGAAGAAAAATGTTGAATTTAAGATAATCTGAGTTCGAATCAGGTTAAACATATCTATCACCTTAAATGTGTATCTCTTACTCATGGTGAAAAGCTAAAAAACACTTCCGCTTTTAAAAAATCCAGTTGATGGTGACAACTCTCAAATTTTAAACTTTGAATAGAAGCAAAATCTTCTATAGATGAAGACTGAACAGAGAATAAAGCCAGGGTACAAGAGAGTACTCAGAGGCAGAGGCAGGTGGAGGATCTCTGTGAGTTTGAGGCCAGCCTGGTAAACAAAGCAAGTTCCAGGATAGTAAGAGCTGTTGCACAGAGAAACCCTGTCTTGAAAAATAAAAAAATAAATTAAAAAAGAAAGGAAGGAAGGAAGAAAGAGAGAGAGAAAGAAAGAGTTCACTCACATAGGTATAGGGCCAGGGGTGTAGCTCAGTGCTACAGCGCTTGCCTGCACGAACAATGCCCTAGTTTGAGTTTTATCACACACACCCACCAACCCAATAAAACATATAGTTTAGAGCAATCTACACATGCCTACATCAGAAAAAAAACGAAACAAAATTTGTTATTTTAGATGTATCAGGTTAAAATTATTCTTACAGATTTTTACTTCTCTTGACATATGGAAAGTTCTGTTATTATTCATGTCTCACATCCCAACCAAAAATTTTTATAAAAGGCAGGGTCTCACTCTGTAGCCCAGGCTTAGCCTGGAACTCATTATGTAACCTAGGCTGGCCTTGAACTCATGGTACTCTTCTTATGTTAGTCTCCCAAATGATGGAATCACATGCCTGGCTTTTAGCAGATCTTTTATACAGTCCTTTTCTTAAAATGTTAGCTATTTCACATCAAATGTCCTTCCTAAATAAGAAAATGTATACAACAAAACTAAACAATTTTCCAAAGTATATTCATGTCTAGTGATTTAAGTACTGGCTTATGCTTTTCAGATTTTTCTCGAATATCGAGATACTACTAGCATTATCCCTTTGCATATAATTCCAGGATTTTTAGACTGTATGTGTGTGGGGGGGGTGTCAGCAGGGAATTATACCTACAAGAGGCTAGACACAGAAAATCTCAGTGCTCTGTTTTAAATGAGGCAAGGAAATTGGTTGTGTGGCAAGTAGAATGGAGCTACGAGGAGGTTTTTTTGTTTTTTGTTTTTTGGTTTTTACGAGACAGGGTTTCTCTGTATTGTTTTGGAGGCTGTCGGTCCAGCCCGGCCTCGAACTCACAGAGATCCACCTGCCTCTGCCTCCCGAGTGCTGGGATCAAAGGTGTGCGCCACCACCACCCCACCACCCGGCTCTACGAGGAAGTTTTAGAGAGCTTAAATTATGCTTCTTTGCTATGTACTCTTTGTTTGAATTTAGAAAATAATTGGGGGAGTTGGAACATAAAATTATGGGTCGAAGTATAAAATACCATTTCTGTGTTTGGCTATGTAAAATAAGCTGCACAAAAAGAACCTTGGATACCAGGGTCATAATTAGTTTGAATAATGGTCTCCCTAGTGACAAGAAGAATGAAGTAAAACAGTGCAGTAAGTTGGCACCTGAACATTGCAGGCTATCTGAAAAATCCTGAACTGAGAAAAACTGTCTTAAAATGACCTAACCAAAAATAAGGCCTAGAATTCTCCCCAAAGCCTTCCACTACAATTGAAAAAATATTTGGTAACACAAAGATTTGAAAGTGTATTACAGTAAAAAAACAGTTAACATGTTAAAAATTAAAAGGTAGCACGATTGAGGAGCTAATACATACTGTATGATTTCATGAAAGCACTCAATTGAGTCAAAGGGACTAGGAGAGCCATGATCAAAATTAAAGATAGTGAGACATGATAAGAAGGAGCAAATCTATTTTGAAAATGCAGTAAAGACACCATAGTTAAGAGCATGAACACAACGCCATATTCAAAATTTTAAGTATTTACAATCCAAGCAAATAAAAATGGGGAAGCACTCTTCAAAGCCCAGAGATCAGTTTTTCTTTTACTGTGCAACCAAGATGACACGAAGTCCCTACACACTTTATTTTCCCAAATATGATACAGGGTTTTAATGTAAAAAAATGCCATTGGATGAGTTTTAGAGAAATCATCTTCAATTCATCAAATGCCAATTTCCCTGTGTATTTAATGTTTGTATATTTAGTGTTTAGGCATACAAAATCCCCTGTAGGCATCTTAATTTATTCAGAGCCAAAGGGCTTAAAAACCGCGTACTCCAAACCCTTCATTTTGGAGATGGAGAACCCAAGGCCCTGATGTAAGAATCAACTGACCAAGGTCATAGGGCCAGTAAGAAGGGAAACTGAGATTAACAACCAAGATCTCTCACCCTCTATCCATTGCTGTTTCTACGTTGCATAGATTCCTATCAACCTGAACCTATAACGGTGTGATATTAAAGGAACGTCAGAGTTGTGCGTTCAACAGAGAAAGGATGACGATATTCATTCATGTAAGTATTGGCTAGGAAGAATGGATGGATAAATATGTGTGGGAGGATGAATATTTATAATATTCACAAAATGCACATTTTTGTTTTGAAGAATCCAAGCCCAGATGTTGTCACATGTTACAGCAGTCACCGTTTTCCACTAGCCATCAATCTTGGCAGCAGAAGCCTCCTAGTACATCCCGCAGTTTAGAGACTATTCACTTGCCAGCACACGCACAAGCGGACAACCCCTACTCCAGTGCCTCTAGCTCTCCAACCCGCAACTCCATGTCCTACACTCACTATTTTCTCAGGGTCGATGCATCATTCTCCCCACTTCTTTTACACGACACCTATTCAGTCTGCGGTTTCTCTATTCAGACCAGGTGTCCTTTGCCAACACTATGTCTTAGTCAACCCTTCCCCACTCCGCAGGCCCTTCTCTGCCCTTCTCATTCCTCTGTCGTAGCCAAATCTCAGCCTCTGCAAGCCCCCGGCCCCAATCTCTTACACAGTGATGTGGCCGGCGCCGCGCACCAACACAGGGTCTGGGGCATATCTCCGCAGATGCTCCTCGCTCACTACCCGAGGCGGGGGCGGCACCTCCTCCTCCTCCTCTTCTTCTTCCTCCTCCTCTTCTTCTTCCTCCTCCTCTTCCTCCTCCTCATCTTCCTCATCCTCATCGGGCCCAGATACAGACGACGACGACGACGACGGCGACGACGACGACGACGTTGCTGCTTCTTCTTCTTCCTCCTCCAGTTCCGAGATGGTGTCGAACTCCGCCATGTTGGGCAGCAGGATGCTCATCACGTGACCTCACGATCGCTGCCACTCTCCGGGAGAAGAGTTTGAACCTGCGGAGAGGAGGGGGAACGGACTGAAGAGAAAGAGGAGGGGGTAGGGAAAGCACTTGAGGAGACGCGCCTGCGTATTGGGCAGACAGAACGGGGGTTGGAGGCGGGGGCATGAGGGACCAGGGAGTAAATTCAGTGTACGCTTGCGCGGCTCCAAGGGGAGGGGGCCGGTGGAGGTGAACTCCAGGGAATTCTCGAGGTCCGGTCTGCGGGTGCTGATTTTCGTACTGCGCTACGGACGTCAGTCTCCTACGCAGGGGACGTATGTGCTCGTTTTAGTGCCTGTTAATTAATGCGGGATATATTTACCTCTATGCAGCCAGTCGAGGGAAAGCAAATTCTATAAAAGTGAGTTTAGGACTTTGCCCAAGGTACACGTATGCCCATCTCTTACGCAGAGGTTGTTCAATCCCGAGAGAAGGGTAAACATTTTTATTAACATTTTACAAAAGGAGAAACTTTCTATTAATTTCTCCCGCGGAATGGTACTTTGGGGACTTGCTAAGTGTCACAGACTGTGCTAAGTCCTCTGTGTGCGTATCTCATTTAATCTTCCCACAACCCTATGATGGGTATACCATGTTGACTCAAATATCACACAAGGGAAATCTAGATACAAAGAGAGCAAGTAATTTGTGCAAGGTCATGGAGCTAGTAAATGACAGACAAGCTTTTAAATCTGGAGTCTCTTCCTACTCCCAAAGCCATGTACTCTTAGCCAAACAGCTACAATACCTAAAGTTGCTTGGAAAGGCTAGGTGGAGGGGTGCATTTTGGTTGGTTCTTATGATTAAGAATATGCAGGTTTGCAACTGGGAGTTTGAAGCCAGGTGTAGTGGCTCATGTCTTTAAACCCAGCACTTGGGAGGCAGAGGCAGGAGAATTTTTGGGTAAGGCTAGCTTGGTCTATAGAGCTAGTTTCAGGACAGCTAGGGTTACACAGAGAAACCCTGTCTTGAAAAAGAAAGGGCATGGCGGGGTGGGGTGGGGGGTGGCGCAGAAGGAGGCATAGGCAGGTGGATCGAGGCCAGCCTGGTCTAGAGAGCGAGTGCCAGGATAGGCTCCAAAGCTACACAGAGAAATCCTGCCTCGAAAAAAAAAAAGAAAAAGAAAAAGAGGGAGAGAGGGAGGGAAGGAAGAAGGAAAGAAGGAAGGAAGAAAGGAAGGAAGGAAGGAAGGAAGGAAGGAAAGAAGGAAAGAAAAGAAATTGGGGTTTTGAGGAGCGGAGCTGGAGAGTGTGTAGAGACATAATTAGCGTCACCCATTCCATAGACGCTATTTATATTCCTTCAAATGCCATAGATTGGTTAATTCAAGCAACCTGGTGAAGTAGGCACCTTTATATGTCTTTTATAGGTGAAAAATTAATGGGCTGGAGAGATGGCTTAGCAGTTAAGAGCACTGGCTGCTCTTCTAGAGGACCCAGGTTTAATTCCCAGCATCCACATGGCAGCTCACAACTGTCTGTAACTCCATTTCTGGGGGATCTGACACCCTCACACAGATATGCATGTGGGCAAAACACCAAAGCACTTAAAATAAATAAATCATTTTAAAAAGTTGAAAATTGAATGTCAGGAAATTTAAACAATCCATTCAGGTCTGTAGTGACCGTTTTTCATACCCCCCCTCCATTTCAAACATTCTACCTCATCTTCTCTATACCACTAAAATACAAGATGACATATTTTGAGTTTCTAGGTAATGTACCAAACTGGTTCATACCTGGAAGCAGCACAGAATTTATGCTAATAAGACCATAGAGTAATGCAGTTGCTCCGTAATAGAATGAATATTGCGGTCCAGGTACTCCGTATTAATACCGGCTTCCCTATACCTTTTGTTGCACTGGAGCTTTCCTTCTGATTAGGTGGTGTGATTGAGAAAACAGACAGCCTGGAATTTAGAAATAGCCTTGCATCAGCAGCACAGTCAGTGGTAATAAGCAAAATATTTAGGTATGTGAGGGAGAGAGAAATCTTTTCTATAAGAGAGATTGTTCAAATATCAAGGAATTGGTGTTTTTAATGTTAATTTTTCCCATTATATTCAATAGCTTGGCTATTTTGGAATTGAAAAGTAAGTTGCAACATTATCTCTAAGAAACAAGTGTAGCTATTTGCTGTGTAGAGAACTTTATTTTAGCCAGAGACTAGGATAAAAGATAGAATCTTAAAATATTTCATAATAATCATTGGTTTTCCTCGTGTTATTAAACATATCATAGCAACAATGAGAGTGAATGACCTTAAACCTGAGATCAACTTCAGTAGTTTGTCCTTGTTCTTTTTAAGAAGCAAGACAAAAATCACAGAGTATTAAATATTTCCCAAACATCTTATCTATAAAGAGTTCAGTAAATCATTATCTAGACAGAATAATACTATTTTGCTGATTACTGCTCCAGTGGTAGCTTCTCCTTTTCATTACTCAAGATTAGTCTAGAAAGGAATAATTGACCGAAGGGGAAAAGAGCAAGAGTTAGATTTTGTGATAAATGCAGTAAGATATTGGAACTATTGTAAAGCTAGGAAATGGTGGCTAGGGGAGATGGAAAGGAAGAAGGGAGAGAGGGTGGGGGAAAGTCCAGAGATGCAGTTTAGTTGGTAGAGTGCTTGCCTATCATGCAGGAAAACCCTAGTTCTAATCTCCAGCACAGAGTAACCTGGGAATGGGGGTGTATTTGTAATCCCAAAAGTCGGGAGGTGGAGGCAAGAGAATCAGAAGTTCAAGTTCATCCTTGGTTACACAGCAAGTATGAGGTCAGCCTTGGACACTATCTCAAACAAAATAAAACAAAACAAACGAAATAAATTGGAAAGAGGCCACTGACATTTAGTCAGAAGTCAAAAGGACAAAGTAGCTTAGAGGAGTGCTGCATTTGGCCAAGCGTGCAAGCACAAGCTGATCAGCTCATCTGTTTCCCTGCAAATGTATGGTGCTGAAAAAACATGTATGATTGCAGAGGTAATCACTTCTGCCAGGAGGATTTAGACTGGGCAAGCTGAGAAAAACACGTTTTGTGTATTCACTGTCAGTGAACACATGAAGCATAATGACTTTTAAATGATAAATTAGCTTTCAGGATAGTTAATTGGGGGAGTAGATAGAGAGGAAAGCAGGCACTGTAAGGTTTTGTTTACTTAATGTGCTAAAGAGGTCATGAGGGCAATTTTCTCATCTAATAGATGGAAGCCTGAGGCACAAAGTCGCAGGTTTAATGGTCTGAGAGGGTTTCACAGTTTTAAAAGACAGCTTTGTTTATTTGTTAAAGTATGCAATTCAGTGATATTAGTCAATGTACAGAATTGTGCAGTCATCAGCATAAACTAATTTTAGAATATGTCCATTGCCTCATTTCAACACCCACATTTGAATTCCTAATCCTATGTAATTATCAGTTTGTGTTGTGAGTTAGTATTTCTTTAGCAGGACTTTTCAAATAAATTGCATTATAAAATATGTTGTCTCTGCCGGGTTTTGGTGGCGCACACCTTTGATCCCAGCACTCGGGAGGCAGAGGCAGGCGGATCTCTGTGAATTCGAGGCCGGGCTGGTCTACAGAGCAAGTTCCAGGACAGCCTCCAAAACAATACAGAGAAACCCTGTCTCAAAACACCAAAACAAAAAAAAATGTTGTTTCTGACACCTTCTTTTGCTTAGTGTATCTTTGAGGTTCATCCTATTGTCATTTACTAGGACTTCATTCCTTTTAATGGACAAATAATATTTCGTTGTTGCAGCATTTGCATATTCATTCACTTGGTGATGACATTTGAGTTCCTTTTACATTTTGTATGTTGTGAAAATGCTGTTATGGACATTCATATGTCTCTATGAAACATGTTTCTTTTTTTTTTTTTTTTTGGTTTTTCGAGACAGGGTTTCCCTGTGGCTTTGGAGGCTGTCCTGGAACTAGCTTGGTAGACCAGGCTGGTCTCGAACTCACAGTGATCCGCCTGCCTCTGCCTCCCGAGTGCTGGGATTAAAGGCGTGTGCCACCAACGCCCGGCTCTTTTCTTTCTTTTTTATTTTTTGAGACAGGGCTTCTTTGAGTAACAGCCTTGGCTGTCCTGGAACTCACTTTGTAGACCAGTCTGGCCTTGAACTCCCAGCCTCTGCCTCCCAAGTGCTGGGATTACAGGAATATGCCACCACCACATGGTTTAATGTTTTTTCTTGAATAGATATGTTTAAGAGGCATTCTGGGCCACATACTTAAGACTGTTGAACATTGGACCTGGAGAGATGTTTCAGAGGTTAAGAGCACATAAGATATGAATTTGGTTCCCAACACCCATTTATTGGGCAGTGCATAGCCTGGAACTCCAGCTCCAACATATTAGATGCCTTTAGCTTCTGTGGGCACCTGCACACTTGTGGACACACACAGTTAATGATAAGATAGTTTTTCTTTTTTATTTAAAATTTTAAAAATTCATTTCACCTAGCAACCCCAGTTCCCCCCTCCCTCCCCTCCTCCTGCTCTCCCCACACCTCTCTCCACCCCCCATCTACTCCTCAGAGAGGTAAGGCCTCCCATGGGGGATCATCAAAGTCTGGTATATCAAGTTGAGGTAAGACCAAGGCCCTCCCCGATGCATCAGGGCTGAGCAAGGTATCCCACCATAGGGAATGGGCTCCAAAAAGCCAGCTCATGTACCAGGGACAGGTCCTGGTACTATTGCCAAGGGCCCCACAAACAGATCAAACTACACAACTGTTGCCCATGCAGAGGGCCCAGTTCAGTCCCATGTAGGCTCTCCAGCTGTCAGTTCAAAGTCCATGAGCTCCCACTAGCTTGAGTCAGCTGTCTCTGTGGGTTTCCCCAATTATGATCTTGACCCCCCCTTGCTCTTATAATCCATTATCTCTCTCTTTGACTGGACTGCAGGGGCTCGGCCTGGTGCTTGACTGTGGCTCTCTGCATCTGCTTCCATCAGTTACTGGAAGTACATTCTATGATGAGAGTTGGAGTAGTCATCAATCTGATTACAGGAGAAGGCCGGTTCAGGCACCCTCTCCACTACTGCTTGGAGTCTTAGCTGGGGTCATCCTTGTGGATTCCTAGGCATTTCTCTGGTACCAGGTTTCTCCCTAACCCCATAATGGTTCTCTCTATCAAGATGTGTCTTTCATTGTTCTCCCTCTCT